TAAGACTCCCAAAGAAAGGAGTACTTGTTTGGCCAATAATGCCATTATTTTCTTGTCCATGAAAGATGTAATCATTTGGGCTTTGTGTATGAAAGAAAAGATAGCGAAAATAATGACAAATGTAGATAGAACATGTTAGATATTTTATATTTTTGCCCAAACCATATCATGAAATATTGAAATTCCAATTTCCAACCACAAAAAAGTAAAAATAAAAGTGAATTAATTAAATTAATATTGAAAAAAGAAAAGTAGAAGAGGGAGAGTTGAGAGTATCCAAACCAGAGTAGTCTATTGAGAGGGCGGGCTCGGGCGAGGGATTGAAGAAATAAATGCAATTTGAAGAAAGAAAGCGTAAACCATTCCCTTTCTCTTCAGCATAAACGTCTGATTCTGATTGTTTCCATTTCCAATTCCAGAGACGGAAGAAGCTGTGATAAATTCAAGTACCTGAAATGGAAATGGAGCCGTGTGAGAAGAGAACCAATCGGAGCAGTTACCAATAAGCAATTAATGAGTGTAAAGTAGGTGGGCAGGTTTGCATGATCTCTCTATTTCCTTTTTCAGTTCATAGTTTAATTTTGCATTCCGCCACCACTCCCTCTGTTTTATATATACATGCAAACTTCACACACCATTGCTTCTCAAATCGAACAGGATTCTCTAACATTTCCACTCATTCAGTTGATTTCGAGGGGGAAAATGGGTTCCTCTCTGTTTTCTTCCCCTTTTGTTCATCCCCAGCTTCAGCAGATTGTGGCCAAGATGACCCTTCTGGATACTCTCTTGTTTTATGTCAGTTTCTCTCTCTCTTTCTTCCCCTCTCTCTCTGTGTTATGGCAACTCTGGAACTGAAATACATGTGGGTTTGTGGTTGATTTTGGTAGGTGATACATTTTGTGGACAAGCTTGGGTTATGGCATAGGTTTCCAGTGTTCTTGGGGCTGGCTTATATGGGGATTAGAAGGCACTTACACCAGCGGTATAATCTGCTGCATGTTGGGGCGATGTATGGGCAGAAGTATGACCATCAACAGTTCTGCTACAGGACCGCTGATGGGAGTTGTAATCACCCTTTTGACAGTTTGGTGGGTAGCCAGGGCTCTTTCTTTGGCCGGAACATGCCTCCATCAACTTCTCCTTATGGGGTAATCTCTTCTAGTTCTAGTTTTTGTGTGTGCTTTTCATGTACCATTAAGTTTTAGCCAAACAAGCTCGAGTTTCGTCGATGGTGATTTGAACGGTCTGTGGACCGATGTCTTGATTAGCATTGAATGGTACATTTATGTGAAGCTCTCTAATAGATGTTTGGTTGTTATATGTGAAGTTCAGGTACTTGATCCTCACCCAACAGTGGTGGCCACAAAGCTACTGGAGAGGAAGGACTTCATCGACAATGGCAAGCAATTCAACATGATCGCTTGCTCGTGGATACAGTTCATGATTCATGACTGGATTGATCATTTGGAGGACACCAAACAGGTAAAACATGTATCCATATCTAGATAGATAGGTAAAGATACCCAACTTGTTCGATTTCAGTAAYGATCAAATGAACAAGTTATGAGTTTGTAGAAAAGGGTCAGTGACACTGATGCCTTGGAGTTCGTTGTGCAGGTGGAACTTAGAGCTCCGGATGAAGTTGCAAATGGTTGTCCTTTGAAGTCATTCAAGTTCTTTAGGACCAAGGCGGTTTCTACAGATTCACCTTACCTCAAGACTGGGACTCTAAACACAAGAACTCCTTGGTGGTGAGTAGTCTCGATCTCTTCATGCTTCATATATGCCATATGACTTGACTCGACTACTTCGAAATTTCGTGGTTTGGGGTTTGAAAAGGATTGTAAAAGATATGGAAAGTAAGTTCTATACCTATAAAGAGTGATACCAATTTATAAAAAGAAATATGTGACTTCTGCTGGCGTTTGAGTAGGGATGGAAGTGTAATATATGGCAATAATGATGAGGGGATGAGGAGAGTAAGGGCATTCCAAGATGGAAAACTGAAGATCACAGGAGATGGGCTTCTTGAGCATGACGAAAAAGGCATTCCTATCTCTGGAGATGTTCGGAATTCCTGGGCTGGCTTTTCTCTCTTACAGGCCCTGTTCGTCAAGGAGCATAATGCTGTATGTGACATGCTAAAAGTAAGTTTAACTTCTCTGTCTATTATCTGTGACAGAATTTTGATTCTTATGCACTTCAAAGAAACTCAGTTTTTTTTTCCGACTCGGCATCCAATACTGTTATTTTGTGGAAACTCCTGCTTATGAAATCCCATTCACTGTTTCATGGATCTATTTTGATTAATAGAAACAATACAATAGATTTAAGTTAATAGGCTAGAGATTTTTCTCTTGCTTTTCAGGAACGTTACCCGGATTTCGACGATGAGCAGCTCTATAGGCATGCCAGATTGGTGACTTCAGCTGTAATTGCTAAAATCCACACCATTGATTGGACTGTGGAGCTTTTAAAGACTGAAACTCTTCTAGCAGGAATGAGAATTAACTGGTAAGACAAGTGAGGAGACTTAAACAAGTCAATCTAGCTAGAAAATTTCTCCAATTGTCTCTGAAAATCAGAGGTAAACTTTGTTGAGGAATGTCCTTTTACAAAAATTTTTCTCAATCTTAAATATGACGGAAGAACTATTCATGTTCTATACAGGTACGGATTTTTGGGAAAGAAGTTTAAGGACTCGTTTGGCCACATTTGTGGACCGGTACTCAGTGGATTGGTTGGTCTAAAGAAGCCAATAGATCATGGAATTCCATATTCACTAACAGAAGAGTTCGTAAGCGTCTACCGAATGCATTGTCTTCTGCCTGATAAATTGGTTATCAGGGACCTGAATTCCACCAACCCAGATCATAATGGCCCTCCTGTCATTGAAGAGTACCCCTTCTTTTCCCTACTCTCGCKTATGCCTCTAGAAATGTAGTTACAAGAGTTCATGAAAGCAAACTTAGAAGGTGACATATTGTCAATCATGGAAACCATTGGTAAAGAAAAGATTACTTTCAAATTATTGGCAAAATTAATAGACTGTCATTCTACAAATAATCCAAAATTTTATGATTGAAAATTATATCAATAAGAGCCTACATCATGGCATAAATATCTTGAAATCCAGTTTCAGCTTGATTTGTCTGAACTGTACCGACTATACCAAAATTTTCACAAATTTTGAATCTTCAGAACATTCTACCTTTCCATGATTGGATAAGATATTGATTTTTCAGGGTGCCTATGGAGGAAATGGTGGGAAAAAAAGGTGGGAAAAGGCTAGCAAAACTAGGAATGGAGCAAATGTTGGTGTCGATGGGTCATCAGGCATGTGGAGCTCTATCTCTCTGGAACTATCCATCGTGGATGAGAARCCTTATTGCCCATGATGTCGATGGAGACGATAGACCAGATCCAGTCGACATGGCTGCCATGGAAAGTAAGACCCTTAGGCTCAAGTAGGAAGAACACACTTATTTGCAAAACAGCTAGGATAAGAAGAGTACAAGATTTTCTCTGAAAGTTTTGTCAAAATGAGAACTTTCAAGAAAGATCGTTGAAACTACCTTTCCAAACATGATTGTAAAAAAGAAAATTTTCCTTTTGTTTGTTTCGCTAGTTTTTCACTACCTATTGCCAAGCCTTTCAATGCTAAACTCTAGATTATAAATGATGATCAGTCTTCAGGGATAGAGAGAGGGGCGTTGCGAGATACAACGAGTTTCGTAGGAATTTATTGATGATTCCCATAAGCAAATGGGAAGACTTGACTGATGATAAAGAAGTTGTGATTGCTCTTAAAGAGGTGTATGGAGATGATGTTGAGAAGCTGGATTTGCTTGTTGGATTACATGCTGAGAAGAAGATTAAGGGGTTTGCAATCAGTGAGACTGCCTTCTTCATTTTTCTCCTCGTTGCTTCAAGGTATGCACTATGCTATTCACAATGATAAGATGCTTAGTA